GGGGGGGAGCGACCAACTACTTCAATGTCATCTACGCAAAATTAAGATTGAACGCAATGTTTTTACAGCAAATTTCTCTGGGTAAGTAATATCGAAATAGCTTTTAACAGTAGTAGTACCGGTCCATCGATAAAATCCAACCTAGACGTGTCGATAAATTTTAAAATAAGCTATTCATCTATGTAGCCAACGACGAAAACGCTTTTAAGTTTTGGTACGGTTTCTACACGGGTGGTTTTACAGTAGGCGTTGTATCAGCTTCAATTAACAAGTGAGAATTGTTTGAAATTAAACGTTTCCAGCCCACTTTTGTGTAAATCCGGCACACCTATAGCGAAGCAAGTGTTTAGTCATGTTTCGAAATTCGGGAGATCACTCTGTTTTTTCTGACACTGAAAAGCATCTCCTTGGCAACTTAGAGGGTTTTGAAAAAATGCCTAACACGGGCAACATTGCCTCTTTATCCGAGTCCTTTATTAGCAGGGCCGTTTACTTTGCGGAATTCAATTTCTAGCACGTTGTTTAATCAGCTAAATCTTCTCTTTCAAAATATTAATTTGGTAGTGTGTTTCGATGGAAATTAAATTGCAATATTTATATATCTAGTGGAAGCGGGAAAGGTTTTTTTTATTGTATTTCCTTCTGTAAATGTTCGACTGGTTCCACTTTCGTAATGCTGTCCGCGAAGACAAGTTGAAGTCTTTAAGAGTAACTTCCGAGGAACACTAAAGATGAAGTCCTCTGCTGTGTGCATTTTTGGCGGCTTGCGTCAAAGCGGTTTTCTTTTGAACGAATTATTTAAAATTTTGTTGGGAGAAAAGCTGATACAGAAACGAGGCCTTTGACAAGAAGCTTTGCAATGTTGGGAGATCGAGTTGATGACTGATCGTATCAAGTTAAAAGCCAAATATTGCATAAAATATTTTGTCAAATTGAAAAAAAATTTGAGTGAAAAATATACGGGTACTTTGCAATGTTGACACTGCTAATATTGCTACGCGACCAGGACGGAGTCCTTGAGGATGTAACTTTTTAAAGATATCCTAAAAAAGCAATTTTCCATTATCTAGATCCACTTTGTTTTTCAGTGTCAGAACTTTACTTTATTCTAGCTGAATGTGCACAAGCCGTGTTCAATACCGAATGAAACTTGAAAAATTCGTTGTGTGGTTTATTTGTGCGTGAACTCACAATTTAATCACTAAACTTAAGGGTCACTATGTTATAAGGGACGGCTATGAATGTAAGAAGGCAAGGCACATGTAAAACCATTTCCTTGTTCATTAATTTTTTGTTTTTGTTTAGCGAAGTTCTTTTTGCCTTCACCTTCGTGTGGCGAGTACGTGCTGCTTAACTGTGAGTTGTGCCCAGTGGTTTCTCGTGAGAAAAATCCGCGACAATCTGGGACGAGGCATAATTCCAAAGGCTCGTCTTGTTCCCAATTTGTAATTCATAGCTCAGCTGGAAGAGCTTAACGCTCTAGAGTTTTCATGTTTTGAAAAATAAAATCGTGTGTGACGTTTTCGTTTTGGTCGGCTCTTCTGATTTTTTGGGCCTCCGTTATGTGGTCATATGTACCAATGGAAAGCCTCTCTTAAACTCTGTACAAAAAAGGTGAAACAGGCACGGCATCAATGGGAATATCGAATACTATAAACGCATAATGTCTGCGTTACCAGCGCGGTGCTCTGCCAACTGAGTAATGAAGTGGCGTGTTGGAAACAGGTCTTGGTAGATTACAAACAGTTAGTCACATAGTACCGGGGAAAGAATGGTAAAGGAATGAATCTTTTTATCCTTTTCCTTGTCTTTCAGTTGTTGGATGGCATGGAGACTGCCCAGAAGTGGTAAGAAAATCATTTGTATTTTTCTGTAAGATTTTCTTCATGTCTGCCATTCAAAGGTGATTTATCAAACTGGTCGAAAACCACAGTAGACAGTTTTGCTCAGAGCAGTTTTCTCAGATTGATTGTTGCAAGTAAACTTGAGTTTGATTTTTTTTTTTCTGTTCAGCTCTGTGATTGGTTAGTAAATCTCGTGCCGTGTTTCTCTAGCCAATAGTTTGTTTTCTCAACTTAGAGCGGTTTTCACTTGATTGCCGTAAGCAATTCGCATTTGCGCTGGGTTTGCATTTCTCCGCTCAGTGAATTCCTTAAAATCTCGCACTACTTTCTCAACTAATCAGAAATTAAACCAAAACCAATCGCGACTCGTTCGCACGCAATTTCCCGCGCTTCGCGCCAGTTATACAGTCTACGCGTCGAGTTTTGATTGGCTCACTGGATTTTGTGTGTTCTCTGTGATTGGCCAAAGTGATTGCTTTGGTTTTGGTTTACCACATACAATTCAAAACTGTCTTAATCTAAACAAAAATGCAGATAATTTGGTTTACGTTCTTCATAAAACCCACAGTTTGGTCATGGTATGTTGCTTTTTGCAGAGTCCGGCTTAGAAATGTACTGTAAGTCTTGTTTAGTAGCGTTTTTGTTGTGGTTAGCTTAAACTTTGACTAAATTTTGAGATCATGCGTTGTTCGCACTGTTAATGGGGCCAGGTTTTTTTACGTTGAAATAACAAATAGGACTTCCGCTTCTGGACAACAATATCATCACGTTTGAAAATTATAAACTGTGTTAATTTGCGTACGTTCCTAATTTCCTGCAGTAATGGTAATAATATTCCTTTCCTGCCAACACGAGCCAGTCCTTCGAGGATCCAGGAATCTTATTTGCTTTGGATTATGTTTTTTTTCAGGTTTCGCCGAGCTCATTTGTATGACCAACAATATACCGTTCCTCACATCTACTGGGATACTCTGCCTCGAGCCAGCGCCAGCCAAGTCCACCCTCACTTTCATGTAGTTCTGGCCGACCATTACTACGGTGAGTAGGCATGACGGGATACGCTTTCAGAGCACTAAAGGCCCTTAGTCACGGCTTTCTTAGTGATTTTGGCCACGTAAAAAATTACCTTTTAATCGAACGGAACCTGAAAATAGTAGTGCACTAAGACTGAAAAACACCAAAGAGATAATAATAAACCATAAAGGAAAAAGGATGGTCAAAGATGGAAAAGATTAACACGGATTACAAACGACGAACTTGAAAAATTTAGGCTAAACTTTTCAAGATGCGCAAACTGTGACGTAACTCCTGTAGGTAAGTCGAACATCAACAGACACAGAGGTTGTTTTAACGGTTTGTGCAAATGGAAAGCAAAAATGCCTGATGGTAAGTTCCGTTCGGATTGGCCATTTACCAATTACTCAAAAAAAAGAAAAAAAAACCAATTTACCTATTAGAAAAGACTAGGACGAGGTCGACCTGATCATAATTCCGAGATAATTGCAAATAGTAAGCGCATTTTCCACTCGGATATTTCGGTTGGAAATTTTGGACTACTTTTCAAGACGTTCCGTTTATTTCGATAATTTACCGGTAGGTCGAATCAAAATTATCTTACCAATTACATTACCGAAATTTACGGATTTTTTGGTAAATGCTAAATAACCAGAGAAAATTGTTCACTCGTTTTAGCGTGATATAGTTCGTGATGTTGTTGTATTCTAATGTCTGTTGTGTTTTATTTTGATATTTCTCCAGCCAGATGGGCTCATTTTCAAGCAGCCGCCAAGGAATACGCTGCAAAACACAACGGCGAGAATTATTTTTCAGCTCTGAACAAAGTGAGTAGATCGTGGCACTTGAAAGCCGAAGAATTCGTCCATGGTTGTCTTGTAATAAACACAACAAAACCAAAATCTTTTACTGGGGTATAAAATCCCTAGAAATCGTCACTGAGGACCGTTTTCGGGAGAGATGACGATCTGTGCCCAGAAGTATAAATGGGTATTGCTGGATTGTCGGAAACAGGATAATACCATAGATATCAATTAGTGATTGTGAAATGTTTGTCTGGAGATCTTTGTTGTTCTTAAGTCTAGAAGATTCGTATCTAATCAATCGGCGTACTTTAACTAAGGTGTGCCTCGAAGATAAGAAACAATTGTTTGTGATTTAATTAGCTTTTGAGTCGAAGGAATCTTTCAGTCAGTCGAGTTAAAAAGAGTTGTGAAATCTAGCGAGAATCGAAGAGGAGAAGAATAAAATCTTGTGAAGACGAGACAGTGCGGGCTATCCTTTTCTAATTCCCCACAGGATAAACGGATTCGAACTCTGGTCACATTGTGTTGTGTTCTTGGATAAGACAGTTTGCTCTCACAGTGTCTTCGCCAAGCATGGTGTAAATGCGTACGGGAAAACTGAGGGGCGGGGGTATTAGCCTTTAGGATTTAGGAACCTACGAAGTTCCAGCATCTTATCTAGGTTGCTACACGCTACTGGGTAAGTCTGCGTTCGAGCCTAGTAACCCATCAGGCCGGCTCTTATCTCCGGTTTCCGACGCATGAAGCGACTAGGAGGATTTCTTTCTACTTCCCCAAGAATAATAATATGCGGGAATACGCTTGTTCATCGCAAGCTCATCCCCACATTACCTCGCTGGGTGTGCATTTTTACTTTCGGGTAGAGAGGAACTGTGAGAGTGAAGTATCTTGCTCGAGAACACAACAATAAAACCGGTCAGGGCTTCAACCAGGACCGTTCGATCTGGAGTCCACCTCACTTCCCACTAGGTGTATGTTCTTACCAGGCTTGCAAGCAAGACCTCAGTGCTCATCAATCTTTAGAGTAAGCCGGAAACATACGAATCTTAATTAAAACTTTTTTTTTTGTTGGGTTTCTAGATCTACAGTGCTTTGGGTCTTGCAGTCCAATATGGCAATGCTACCGTTATAGCATATTTGGTAAGTAGATAATCTCATGTCCTCAATTCATTCTCGTATTTTCCATTGCTTCTGTCACTTGTGCCTCTGCTCTGACAGCCAGACATTACAGTTTGTTTCCAAGTCCCTTACAACTAAAAGACGCACTATATAATGGTTGGACTTTACATGAACTGCCAAAGGTGCCCAGGGTTTTGTTTTGTACTAGGCGACTTTCGGTTTGGAAAGACTGACACCACGCGCTGGGAAAGTTATCACGCGAGTCACGCATTTTTGTTTGCTTGATTGGAAATTTGACACCTTCGGCGAGCGTCTGTGTCAAGGCAGGTCTGAATGGTGTGTGGCCATAGAACTCATTCGTCTTTGGAAAATTGTTTTTTACTATTTCGTGTAATTTACAAGGACAGAATAGCTGACCAAAATCCAGTTAAATCACACGGGTAGAACCGTGCGTGTTGAAAAGAACGGACACGGTAAGGACTTCTGACTACGATTTAAATTAAACGGATCCGTTAATTGACAGAGATAAATGTTCCGTGAGAGATTACGTACTAAAGATGAAAGTTAATTTGATCCACGTACTGTAAACTTATGCCACAAACCGTATATCGTAAACCGTAGTTTGGTTTGAACTGAAATAGACAACGAAAATAGAAGCTAACGTAACTGTTACATCGACTTATACAAGATAAAATAATATCTATGATGAAATTATAGCGAGCATTCGCCATAACGTCCGCGTCCGTGACATGGTAGCCTAATATAAGCAGCACTATAACTAATATTACAGTATTTTATGAGTATTCATGATCACTAAACCCTTTACTGTCTGAGATATGAACCTAACGTAGGGCGATCACGTAACAACGTTCCGAGAATAAAAACTTACAAACCGACTCAGTAGCGAATGATCTAGATACTATTTCCGATATCCGCAGAAAACTAAGAACTTAGCCTAAAAACAAAAAATAGGTTACTCACTTTGGTTTACACAGCAACTGAACTTGACTTGACAGGGTGGATGAATAACAGTGTAGAGAGAAACTATGACCCAATGCCGAGAAGAAGTTCTACATCAGAACTGATCTATAACCGAGAAAAATGAACGGATATATCGAACCAAGAGACACGTGCGCCAAAGGTTGCGGTTATGACCATTTCCGAACGGACATTGCGGCCGAGGGCTTGTCAACCGCAGTGGATAAAATGAGTATGGTCACGTTTAAATTAAGTGACAATTACTTCCAATATCTAGAGTAAGTTCCGGCGATAAGAACTGAATTAAAACATCACGTCTCAGCAAAACCAACGCGTCTGGATAAATAGATCTAAAACAATTTGTAAGTAATAACAAATTTATTTTCGTTTTGAATGGACTTGCTTCGGCAAATTAGTTACTTAAAATAACAAGTGCTGTAAATTAATAGGAAGAAACAATCAACTCAAAAATAGGGCTCAAAAGGCGAAATTCAGTAGAAATGATTATTTTCAAGGCACTGTCTATCAAATCAACAGTCCTGGATAAAATAATTTTCAACACAAAATTCGACATGTTGAAGGCACTGTTCAGCTTGTTTATTTAGCTCTGTAGGTCAAATTATATTTTTGTTTTTATTACATTGCAGTATTTTTCCAGTATGTGCGTTGTCTTCTTCATTTGCCCTTAATACAGTACATGTACTCTTAAATATGATGAAATAGGGTTTATGTATTTCCCTTGTAGCCGTCGTACAATTTTAGTTTTCTACACAGCTCCTAAGTTGCCTTGTTTCCGTACAGCAAGCCCAGTATTTGACCACAACGTGAATGTATCGTTGGCAGCCAACCGATGCGTAAGGAAACTCCTTTGAAAACGCTTCAAGCGAAACTAATTCTTAGATATTAAAACCTTTCTTAGCTAATATTGAAGCTATATCGAGGAGAAAGTTCACTTACCTTCATAACGTGTTCTGTAACGTTACTAGTAACCAGAGAAAGTAGAGCGCAGCAAAGAATAATCCAACAAAGGGAAATAAGATCTCACTAACTGCAGATGAATGATAATACGTCAAACAAAGTTATATCACGAGTTTCATCGCCCCCACACCAGGAAAGGTCGAAATCCGTAGACATTTTAATAAACTACGTCACGGTTTGCGCGTCTTAAAAAGTTTAGCCGAAGTTCGTCATTTGTTATCCGTGTCAATCTTCTCCATCCTTAACCATCCTTGTTCCTTTATGGTTTATTATCTCTTTGGTGTTTTTCTGTCGTGGTAAACTGTTATTTTCAGGTTTCCTTCAATATAAAGGTAATTTTGTACCCGTCCAAAATAAGTCAATTACCATGGTTGAGCTCCGAAGAATCATCTCTGTCATCTCAACAATGTAGAATGACACTATTTACAGATTTGGTTTCGCCGATAACAATTGCAACCCAGTCGTTTGAAAGCCGCTTGACGGTAATCTAAGATTAATGTTGCTCCTAGTTTTGATTTCCATTGTAAAATCGAGTTTGCACAGCTACTTTATATGGATTTTGACATTAGTCAAATTCCTAAACGCAGGACAAAATCTAAAAATAGAGGACGCCATTTAACAGTTTTTAAACTGAAGCACTTATCTTTATTAGTGTAAATCTACTAGCGTTCTATCACAAATGCCGCTCTCTGATTGGCTACGCTACTCACTGTCTATTTAACAAATAGATTCCATGTTGCCGTGCGTCTGTTCAGTAATAGATCACAGATGACTCCAATCAAAATGCGAGAATAACTTGGGTTATTATATAATCTGTGATAGATAGTGAGTAACGTAGCAGTGTGCCCTTGTTAACAAAATGACGGCCGCTTCTTCGCGTTTTGGAAGTGTCTGTGAAGAGGATTTCGATAAAGTTTTGAACGGCTAGTAGATTTATACTAAAACAATTAGATTATTATATACATTTCGCCGATAAAAGTAAAATATAAAACTTTAAGGTAAAAAGCTGTTAAAATTGAGACTCAATTTTAACAGCTTTTTACCTTAAAGTTTTATATTCTAATTAGATTATTCGCTCTTGATTTCTTTGCTGCGCCCTCGTCAAGTATCACGTGATAGAAATCTTGAGCTCATAATCTAATTGTTTAATAGCTGGTTTTCACGTGACGTCATCAAGCTCTAAAATCCAAAGCTAAAGAGCCATCAGAGTTTCTGTCCTCATCAGGCGTAAGAGGTGCGAAATGTATTTATCTTGACAACCTTTCAGCTCAATAGCGTCGTTCGTTTGGAAACCAATGCACTATTTTCCGGCGACCATGTTCGTGTACCTCCATATGGCGGCCCCATACTGGGCTCTGTAAATTTGTGCGAAACATTTCAACAAATATCTGAAGTCTGGGATAGGACACAGACGTAAAACATGGAAAAGTGTCGTCTCTATTTATCTTCTGTAAGATCGCATTTTCTTGACTTCATTCACCAAATGGTGTTTGATTAATTTTTTTATTTCGTGACAGTGAAAACAATCTATTAGCTTAATCACGTTTTGAACAACTCGGCTCAGGGGCCCGTTTCTCGAAAGTCCTGGGAACTTTTCGGGTCCGTAAAGCCATAGCAAAATCTCGAACCTTAAGATTATAGAGCTGTTTTATTCACATATTCTAAATATGAAGAGAAGTTCCCTTCATACAAGAAGTTTCAGGCGTATACACCTCTCCGTTTTTAGATATAGATGGACTTAAATGGCTTTGTGGGCCCGAAAAGTTCCCGGGACGTTCGAGAAACGGGCCTCAGATGACCATCTTTCACTGTCGGAATGTGTAAAATCAGGTGATGTTTTGTACGGTCCTTTTGTCTCATGGCGAATGAGCATTTGGAAAGTTGGTCAACCTAAAACCATGGAATTGTGTTGGAAAACACGCAAAAACATGAATCATAACCTCAATACGTACAGAACAACTGTCAGCACCGCCATTAGCCCTTTCAGTGTATGAAAATGGTAAAATGCAAATTTGTTTTAGATGAAAGGATCGCGGCCTCTGTAAACGAGATTGGGGTTACCCACTCTTGTCGCTTACAGAGCGCGTTTTTTAAAGGAGCGGTATTTTGAGTTACATTTTGGTCACGCACAAAATTGCCTTTAAATTGAAGGAAACCTGAAAATGTAAGTTTACTAAGAGAGAAAAACACCAAAGAGATAATAATGAACTATAAAAGAACAAGGATGGTTAAGGATGGAGAAGATTAACACGGATTACAAACGACGAACTTGAAGCTTTAAGACTAAACTTTTCAAGATGCGCTAATGGTGACGTAGCTCCTTTAATAGACTTCCGATGTTCTGTACCTTCTAGACTCCAAGCGCGTCTCACGAGATCATGCTGTTTAGCAAAGAGCCATCTAAAGATCTATTCCAACTTCTGTTCTACTGTGTAGCAGGTAAGTTAGTTTTACTCCCAACTCTGTAACATAACCGTTTGTTCGCTTCAATAATCAGTGGGCCCACAATTCTTTTGTACAGTGGGTTTCAAATCTGTGACGACTGATGTGCAGTTTTTCAGATAGGCCATGTTCGTATTCTCGGTATTGGACTGGAACTAGTTTGCAATGGAGGCTCATGCAGGGGGAATATCATTAAAACGAGATTGATGTCATTTGCATTTGAAAAAATTCCCCGCATTAGCTTCGGCTGCAAGCTAGTTCCAGTCCAATACTGACAATACGCGTATGGCCTTTTGGCACTGAATGAAATATATAAAGAACCGTCAGTCGCAGTTACTTTGGCACCTGCTTGTTGTTTTGTAAACTAATTAGGTTCGAGGTAATCCAAAAAGTTAGTGCAAAGTTTTTTCATATGTGCCTGACCCATCTCCGGAGTGCTTGTACTCGACGCGGACTTCTTCGTTAAGTTTTAGTTCGTAAAATCAACCGAAGGATTTTCCACGAACAGAATAATCTTATACACTTAAGAACGGGATGTGCCTTTATTAATTAGTCTTTCATATTTCAAGTGGTGGTCGTTAACAGCTCCATATCAATGTTTGCAACTGTTAAACACCTCTAAGTAACGTTGCAACCATTATCTAGGTGCATAAACGAGATATGCACCTTCGATTATGCCGAGGGTTGATATTTCAGTTATACCCCCAGCCAAAAGATTGTGACTCCTGTCATTATCAAAAAAGGTTTTGTAAGTTTTATATGAGAAATCAGGTATTGTCAAGTTTAGCGTGAAAGGCCTGATATTCTGTTTACAATTCTGTTTCCAGCGTTAAGAGATGACATGGAACTGTATGCAATAAGTGCAGGGATGGTGTTTCCAAAATTGGTGAGTAGCGAGAAAGCGGAAAGAAAACGAGAATAACTGGCAATCAGACAGACATACAGATAGACGGACAGACAGACGCAAAGCCCGACAGACAGACCGACTGACCGTCTGACTGAGTCAGACAGAGAGGCAGAAAAAAGGCAACAACTTTGTGCTATGTCGGCGGGTAAGTGAAAAGCGTAGTTGATCATCATCATCAACTTGACAAAGGTACAATTACTGTGGTGGCGAATTTGGAAAAGCTGACATTTCGATTATTAGACCTTCGTCGGACCGACAGACAGACACTCAGATAGACAGTCAGTTAAACGGACAAATAGACAGACCGTCAGATGGACAATCAGTCAGTTAAACAAACAGACAGTCAGACAGAGAGGCAGTCAG